TGGAAGTAATCCTAGGAAAAAAGGCATCTGGGCTTTCTATTCCTCTTCCTAGAAAACTACAACTCTGAGTTTAACCCTCAGTCATCTGAGGAACCACAGTGACCAGAACAGTAACTATTTAAATGCTTCCATGACCAGGTTCTCTGTTAAAGAGCCCTCCTGCAAATGAAAAGTACAGACTATAGTATTTTAAAAAAAACAGGTGTCAGAAAGCACTGGGAGGTATCAAAAGCAGACAGAAAATTTAAGGTAGTTGCCATTTGGAAGAATGAATGGCATTGGTAAGTTTTCCATTTTTACAGCTTCTGACCTGAGGGCAAGCCACTATCCATTCCATATTGGGCAAGTAAAACTCAAATAGAAAACCAGAGCCCAGAAAAATCACAACAGCTAGAAAGAAAGTAGTTAATAAAACTAAACAAATGCACAATCTTTGACTAAGCAATTCCATCCTAAAAGAAATAAAAGGATATGTTCACAAAACAGTGGTACCAGAGAGTGCAAAGCAGCTTTCATAACAGTTATGCTGCTACAATCCCAGCATCCTTAACAGAAAAGATAAACTCATTTATCTACAATGAAATACTACTAAAGTAATTAAAAATGAAATATGCAAACACCTACTGATAGATGCAACATAGGTGAATTTAAAAATCTTTGTTTTACATAAAACACTACCTGAAGTCTAGAACAGTCAAAATTAACCTACAGTGGGGAAAAATCGAAACGTGGGCTGACTTGTAGGGAGAATGGAATGGATGCTTACTAGGAAGAGTCCATGATAGTAACAGGCTGCATCTTGATGGGGTGAGGAGTAGAAAGGTGCTATGGGAACTTAAATAGTCAAACAATTAAGATTTTTGTATTGCACTGTTTATAAATTTTATCTCACATAAAAGTAATAAATATTAACTGATTAAAAACATGAAATAAATTAGATTTAGTGGGTGGGGAGGGGGTGGGAGTATAATACGTATGGTAAATACAAATTGTAGGATCTAAATGGAGGGTCTATGGGAGTTCAGTATAGAATTTTTTCATCTTTTTTGTGAATTCTGAATTTTAATACAATGCAGAGAAAGAAAACTTATCTGATAACTGTCAAATGTTTAAGGTCTCTGCCTGTTATTTTCCCTTCTGAACAAGTTATATATATATCTCTTCTCCAACACTGGGCCTGCTGAATTTCTGGCCACACTGAGTTCACAATGTTCCAGCTGCTCTAAGACATCAAATGTGCCACCCTCCACTTGACTCCCTAATCCTAATACAAATGCTGTTGAATTATCCCAGGGCATTTTTTTTTTTCCTCCCACACAAGGTCACAGACCTTTAATCTCTACAGCTGCATGCCTAGGTCAGAGCCCTTCCCAACCAACAGATGAATGGTTGAAGAAAACCGATGGGAGAATGAAGGCACAGGAGCCTCAGTCACTATTCTACCCTTGGGCATTATATATATCACTCTTCAATTCTACTGCATTTCCGACAAATATTTGATGTTATAAAATAGCCAAATATATGTGTTCTACATGTATTAGTGTTATCAAAAGATCGTATATATGAAAATGCTTCCTAAATAATAAACCCAAATGTAAATAAAGGAGATAATTATTATTTTTTTTCATTTTTTGGTAGTACTGGGGATTGAACCCAAGGGCACTCTACCACTAAGCTATAACCCCAGCCCTTTTTGAGACAGGGTCTTGCTAAGTTACTGACACTGGCCACAAATTTGTGATCTTCCTGGCTCAGTCTCTTGAATCGCTGGGATTGCAGGCATGTGCCATTATACCTGGCCACAGATGATTACTAAAATCACCTCTATATTCAATATACATAGCATATTAATGGTATATATATAATATATATCTTCTTAATTCTGAAAATATTTTTTTTCTATTTAATAATACTTGACATTCTGAAAAATTCATTAACAGACTTGGATTCTTTTCCCTAAAGGAATATAAAAATCTGATTGTCAGGAAAAAGATAACTTGAAAAAACACAGAAGCACACAGAAAATTCCTGTACTCCCTTTAAAATCCCACAGACCAAGAGGAGTACACATACGCGCATTTAGATTAACCAGGAGCACATGCTCAGTTCACTGGCCGAGCCACCACAGTATACACCCTACTTATTCTCATCACTGTGGAGAAACATTTACTTTGCACTTATCACACTGAAAATCCTCACAGGTCTGGCAGAAGTGTTAGAAGCAGAAATGGTACTCAGGGATTAAGTCTCAGGTCGAAGAGACCAGAGATGTGAAAGACACTGTCTCTATGCTGCCAGGAAAGAGAGAAAGGATAGATGTTTGAAGAATGGAGATATTATGGGTGGGGAGAATCCAATACCTTAAGTGAAACTATGGTTTCACAAATGGTCAGCCTGAGGTACTCTAAAAAATATTTGCTATGTAGGCTCAATTCTACAGATTGTGAAATGAATTATCTACAATGGACCCCAGGGTTTCAATATTTCTTAAAAATTGCCTAAGTGATTCTAATGTGTAACTAGGAGGAACTATTAGATTGGTCTTGAAAGAAAGGCAAAATAACATCTGGATTAACTGAATTGCACAGTTGTAGCAGATTCGGGACTAACCTAAGCACAGGTACATAAGACTAGGCCCTGCCAAGACATCATAAGAGAACATGGTCCAGAATGGAACAACTGAGTTGTTAAGCCATTTAATGCATAAGGGAATTGAAATACAATAATAATTTTCTGTTTGAAATCCCTATAGCTCCCAGCAGAGGGCTCCATCAGAATGTTTAACTGATTGCCATTTGAGGTTTCGTATTTCTTCTCAGCCTACTTTCACCTCATTTCTTTGCTGTTTGCCCACTCTATTGAGGTATTAGAATAATTTCCAAATCTCTGAAAAATCACATTGTTTTATCTTCCTTATTTAGTAAATTTCCCCGTTTGTAAAACATCCTCTTTCTCCCTCTTACCCATCTCTATTTCTATGCTTTCTCATCTACTTAACTCCTATTCAACCTTCCAAACCCAAGCCAAACATCACCTACCCTTACACCACCTCTTCCAGCTGTCAGATCTCCATAGTCCCAATGCCTCTCACATCTGCCTGTCACAGCAAATACACACAAATATATCTGTCTCCCCACCTCTACTGTAAGCCCTTTGAAAACAGGGACAATGTCTTCCTCCACTTTATATCCTAAGTTCCCAGGACAGGGCCTAGAACCATTTCTTCAGTAAGCAAAGGAAGACAAGGGGAATCTCCTGACATCAAGTATATTTTGTCTACACCACACAGCTCCTCATGGAAACCTTGCTATCTACTTCATATTTCAAGATCATTTTAAAGCTTCATCATTAGTGATCAAGTACAACAAATATAGCCAAGTATTCTAAGGAAGGGCCCTATAGAAAGAGGACCAATAACCAGAAATGTATGCCTGCCTGGATATTCTAATTAAGTACTCTAAGAATTTCTCCAAAAACAGCTCTGGAAAATGCCAGAAAGCTTAATGACAAGGGGAATCAGTTTCTAATCCAAGAAGGCATCCATTCTTCGGACTTTTAACCACAGGTCTAGAGGTCCACAGGTCTTTTTGTGAGGCACGCTTCTGTACAAGGGATACTTGAATTCACAATAAGCAATTAGCAAGCTAAATAATATATAAAAATATTATATGGGCAATATGCAGACATACTGGCTATTGCTTCGGTCCCTGGCAATAGCCACAATGTTTGCCAATCAGTAAATGACATTCCCATATCCAACCCATTATTTTCTTAAGGTTTCATATTCTATCTTTACGAACTACCTGTTATCAATTGTTTTCAGACCATGAGCCACTGACTTTATACAACATAAAGCAAGAAGTAATGACGAATAATTATGTGAATAAACACTCTTCATATATACTCAATATCAACTGTGAGGTATATCATGAATAATAGCTTTTTAGAGAAAAATAAATGTGATAAACTATGTTATATACCCTGATTAAAGAATGATGGAAGGTAGAAAAACATTTCTCAGAAATGAAGAAAAATGGTATAGTTTATAAAAACCTCTGGTATTCTAAGGATTCATATAGTATATGGGAAAGTGGTATTTGTGACTCCTCTTCCCAGGGGCATACAAATTTTGACTAAAGAAAATAATGATTTAAAAATAACTTATAGGCTAGGCATGGTGGTGTACACCTGTACATCTAATCCTAGTAGCTTGAGGCTGGGCAGGAGGATCACCAAGCTCAAAGTTAGCCTCAGTGACTTGATGAGACCCTGCCTCAAAATAAAAAATAAAAAGAGCTGGGGATGTGACTCAGTGGTTAAGTGCCCCTGGATCAAACAAACAAAACAACTGTAGTATCAGATTTTCAGGAAAACAGCAAGCTGTTCCACAGTAAGTTTTCTTGAATTTAATTTACATACTAGTGTGCCAGTTAGCCCAGAGGGCACTGGATGGCACTTCCAAGGCTCACTGGCAGTTAGAAGTGACCAGTAACACGGAGGTAGAAACTGAATAGGACTTCCAAGAGAACCATTTCTCCCTCCTCACCTCTTTCTTCCTCACTAATGGCCTGGAATAGGTGCTCCAGTGGCCTTTAAGGTACTCACCAAGATGGCAGAGCAGTGAGAGAGGTAACTGGAAGACTACAGTCAAGAAAAGGTAGTAAGAAGGCTAACGAGGAAAAAAAAGTACAACTGTCTTTGGTAAATTTACATACATTTCATTCTTTTCCAAGAATTCTATGTGGAAAGATATGCCACCATGCAGAAAATGCTTAATATCAAATATAGATCCACATTTGATGAAGGATAAAAAGCCAAACTGAAATAAATATTGAGCACTGCATACCATACATGAGAACCATTTTACATAATCAGCAACCTAAACATAGGAATTATACCTGTTTATCTTTTTAAAATTCTCAGTATGAACAAGTTATCCAGAAAACAGTGGGTTCTCAGTAAGTGTTTGAAATAAATGAAACTAGAACATTCTTTCTTACCTTCTGTAGTTGGAAATACTTCTTCAGTTTTAGCCTCTGCCAGTTTCCCAGTTCTCAGCAGAACTTCCGCAAAACTTTCTGCTGGGGCATGCTGGTAGGTGTCATAGGTCACTGCAGCCTAGACAAAAGCAGCAACTTCACCATTTAATAGGGTCTCTTCTAATTCCACATTCTTAGAAATCACAGGGGAAGGAGTTTATGGCTTCTGCTGACCTGAATAATAATTTCTCGCTAATGCATATTATTGTATCTAACATCTTAAATAGATTTTCATTTCATAGGTCATAATATATACAGAATGAATCATATGAAAGCAGTGAATAAGAATAAAGTCAAAGAAGTTTATTTTCAGGAAAGTTTTAGTTTTTCTTTATACTATCTTCAATAGCTTGACAGTAAATCTGTTTTCTTAGGCTCACTGTCCTTACCCCATTGACAAAGGGATCAGAGATGACCGATTCATAAAAGGGATGACACCCTTGTTTTTCTAGATCTTCATTGGCTACAGTTCCAATTTGATAAGCACCACCAAATTCTTGCCCCTAAACAGAACAAAGTGAAGAACAGCAGGTTAAAAAGAGAGCAAAGAGGGGGAAAAGGGAGAGGGAGGGAGCAAGATGGCAGGGAGAAAAGTACAATTCCAGGAGAAATTCATCAGTGTGCTTTCTATGACCAAAAGAGAGGGCGTCAGAGTGACAGACACCAGCAGAGAATGTAATAACAACTACATTCCACAAGCAGCATTTCAACCCCTACCTTCAGCACTTCCTGATTTTCCTGGTCACTTTGACATCTATGGATCAGAAACACTGAAGTAATAAGTGTTATACACACAGCAAGTTTTCTATATTACAGTCAGAATAACCATCATAAAACATCACTTTGTTCACATTGCTGCCCTGCTCAAAAAACCTTCAGTGGCAAGGCAAACGGGCAACAGCATAAAAATCTGAACTATGTAGAACATTCAAGATCATCAAATGCTAATTAACATTAAAGTCTAATTCTTCACCTCAATCATACCACCCTGCTTAATGCATAAAAGGGGCCTCTGTGCCTTTCTTCCACTGTAAGGGTCCCCCACAGCCTGGCTGCCTAGTGAGAATCTACCCTTCCTCCAGGTCCAGCTCAGACCCCACCCTCTCTGCCTTAGTGGAGGAGTAAGACTTACGAAGGTGCCTCTTTCCTTAACCCCAACTCCTTCTCGACCACCACTTTAAGACTGGAGCATCAACATTCCTGTTAGCAAATATTTTATTATTACTAATATAGTTGATTATGGTGGCTTTGCTCTCCTCAAATCAACATTAAAGCTCCTTACTGAAAGATCCAGGTAGAAGACATTCCTCCCAAGTTTACTGAACCCAGACCCTCTACCAAGTCCCATTGAGGGAAACAATGAAGCTGCTGGCAGTGGTCAGAATACAGCAGATGTTTAATAAAAATGCAGACTACCATCTGGGTTAAAGATCTGACCTAGGACATAAGCCTTCAAAACACCGAACAGTTGAGAAAGGAAAATAATCATAATCCAGTGTGATGCATGAAGGGATAAGAGATTTACCCCAGAATCAAGTACAAAGCATCACAGTAAACAATATCTTTTTCATTTACCCAAGCCTTTGGATGATCATCCTTAGATTTTTTCTCTTTCCTATACCCCACACACAGACCATCTGTAGGACCACAAAATATATCCCACAGCAGTCCTCTCTCACCTCCTTCCTGGTACTCAGGTCTACGCCAGCATCATCTCTCACCCGGAGGACTGAACAAGAATCTCTCTCTGCTTCTGACTGCCAGCTCTCCACACAGCAGTTACATGAGCTCATTAAAAGTAAGGCTGGAGAACACAACTGCTTTGCCTCAATTTTCCATAAGTTTTCCATATTATCCAGCATAAAATCCACACACTTATTATCACAGTCTACACAAGCTTTCAATGATGGGCCTCCACACCACCTATCTAATCTCTTTTCCCAGTTGTTCACAGTCCTCAAATTACACCTGCCTCTTTTATGTTCTACAAAGACATCAAATAAGTCCCCCTGCAGGGGTTTTGCATTTGTTCTACTTGGCTCAATCATACTTCTGCTCAACCCGATTCTTTCCTGAGTAACTTAACTTCCCTCCCTAAATCAGAATTTTAATTCCTCGACATGACTCTTTATTCACTTACCTTGCTTATGAGTTACATTCATATACTTATAACCACCTGGCATTATACAAAATATTTTTCTTCATCTCCCCCATTGAAACATAAGTTCCACAGAGGAAGGGGATTAGACTGAAGGGTTATCCTTTTCTATTCCTGTCTTTAGCACGGTATTTGACTCATAGAAAATGATAACTGTTTGCTGGATGGATGGATGGATGAATAAATGAATGAAGGAGAAACTACGTGTGCTTGGGATGAACCGATAAACAGGCAAGTTTTTCCCCTTTGTTTTCCAATGTGAGACTATAGAACTGGAATGTAACAATGCAGAAAATACAGGTGAATCATGTGTTAATATTTCCCCAAAAACAAACTCCGTTGCTCTACTGCTAATCCTGATCTTTACTTCAACCCTTCTCCATCAGCTGGCTCCTAACTCTTCCCTAACTACTGGCTTGTAGAAATATAGCAAAGCAAGTAAGCACTGATGCAATCATTTTCGTTTCACTAAATTTTAATTCTAAGATGTAAACCAAACCCTACTCAAATGTATCAGGGTCCTTTGCAAGTACTCCATGGGAGTGTATTTCACTCCATGAGACAGACTACTCACACCCTGACAGGAGGCCTGGATTTCTGAAGAAATTTTATAAATCATTAAGACGTAACAGTGAAAACAAATGAAGAGTACTGCTTACAAATGACAAACCACACAGCACATTTGAAAATGAAGGCTGCCTTGCTTACTTGCAGGGGCCGGAGGTAAGTTAAAGACTTCTTCCACCACTGCCCATCACTGACAGCCTGTAGTACTGCTCTGGTAGTGGTCGTGGTATTGGAAAGGACTTTCATGGTGGTGGCAGTAGTCCAGTATAAGAGGTCAGCTGAGCTGCTGCCTGGAACACTCATTTCATCCTGCGTTAAAGAAACAATAGCAACCAGATGTTATCAAATTTTTGTTTAAAAGCCTGTAAATGTATGGACTTTTCTCCCTATGAAATTTTGCCAGCTAATAAATGGAAAATTAGAATTTTTGTGGATTGCTGAAAGACTAACAGGTTCCACATTATAAACCTTCTAAACACTATCAATCATCCATTTATTTGGATGAAAAACAGTGTCCTTGGGCTGGGGATGTGTCTCAAGCGGTAGTGCGCTCGCCTGGCATGCGTGCGGCCCTGGTTCGATCCTCAGCACCACATACAAAAAAAAAAAAGATGTTGTGTCCGCCAAAAACTGAAAAATATTAAAAATTCTCTTAAAAAAAAGTGTCCTTTAACATCGAAAGGTAGAAACCAGAATCTTCTACTTTCCTTGGGGGTCACAGAAGCATTGTTCAAATGAATAATTTAGTTAATAATAAATACTGTGGTTTAAGAAACATGAGTTGTTAGATATTAGACTGGTAAAAGTTAAAGAATGTGTCATTTGCTTTATAAATGTTTCTGAAACTAATGTACCATGATGTTTTTTTTCCCCTGAATTTTCTTTTGAAAATGATTCAGGGAGAAACAATACGTATGCTATTGTTGTTTTGTTAAATATTTATCTCATTACTAGCAATGATGGGTTTTAAGATTTATTTTCATGTGTATCATCTGATCATTTTGAGTGGTCACATTTATCACATTGAGGCACATTTTTGTTCTTGCTTTTTTAATTTCAAGCTCCCTCCCCCACTAAACTTCCTTTCTCCTACATACATAAAAGTGAAGTTCCCTTTGGTATATCTTCATATATGAACACAAAATGATTTTGTTAAATTCAGTCTATTTATCCTCCCTCTAGCTCTCCTATTCCACTGATCTTTCCTGTATCTTTATGGTATCCTATCTTCTTCCCAAGCATCTTTATCTTGCTCTAGCCTCCACATCTGAGAGAAAATATTCAAACCTTGATTTTCTAAGTCTGGCTTATTTCACTTAGCATTTTTTTTTTTTTTAATTCTCATCCATTTACCAGCAAATGTCATTATTTCATTCTTCTTTATGGCCGAGCAAAGCTCCACTGTGTGTATATACCACATTTTCTTAGTCCATTCATATCATGGGCATTTCTTAATCCATTCATCTACTGATTCCATAGCTTGGCTCTTCTGAATTGCACTGCTATAAACACTGAATTGGCTGTATGGCTGATTTCAGACCTTTTGAAGAAAGGCTGAGGAGTGGTGTTTCCATTCCTTGTTTTTTGAGAAATGTTCACACTGCTTTACAGAGTAGCTGTACTAATTTGCATTTGTACGTATTTTTCCCCATCCACACCAGCATTTATTATTCATGTTCTTGATAATTGCCATTCTTTCTGGAGTAAGTTGAAATCTTAGGGAAATGCAAATCAAAACTACACTAACTGCTAGAGAAGCTAAACATTCATATTTCTTGGCCCATTTGTTTTTTTTTTTTGGCAAGTTTTTGATTAGTTCTTTATAAATATTTGTTTTTTCCTTTTCCATATTGGCTATGTTTTTTTTTCCTTTGGCATTGAGATTTTTGAGTTCTTTATACATTCTGGACATTAATTCCATCAGAGAAGTATCTGGCAAAGATTTTCTCCATTCTGTAGGTTCCTCTTTACTCTCATGACCATTTCTTTTGCTGTCCAGAAGCTTTCTGATGGTATCTCACTTAATGATTCTTGGTTTTATTGCCTGAGCTTTAAGGATCTTGCTGAGGAAGCCAGTGCCTGTACCTAGATCAGAATGTTGACCCTATGTTTTCTTTGAGCAGTTGCAAGGTTTCTTGTCTGTTATCTAAGTGTTTCATCCATTTTGATTTGACTTTTATGCATGGTGAATGATAGGGATTTAAATTCATTCTTCTACATATGGATATCCATTTTTCCCAGCACCATTTATTTAAAAGGCTGTCTTAGCATGTCTATCTTGAAGTAACTATCAAGTAGCTGGATCTGCAGACTCTTAACCAAAATTATGTGAGTGTAGTGGTGGGAAACAGTGGAACACACATCCAGAACTGCCTCTAACCTGAGCTGTCCAACACAGTAGCCACGAGTCATATGTGAAATGTGGCTAATCCAAACTGAGATACGTTGCAAATGAAAATACACTATAGATTTGAATGACAGGAAATAAAGGGAAGGAAACAGAAAAGAGCATCATATGTGTGCTTAACCTCAATGAACTAGTACACAGCCTTTCTAGTGATGGAAGGGAACCTAGGAGGCCAAGTTCAACCACAAGCATTCCAAGGCAGAGAAGGAAGACAGATGCAAAAACAGAAGTTCATTATTCAACACTTCTGAAGAGGCAAGGTAGAAAGCTCTAGATAGGAAAATAGCTAAATGTCCCTTTGACAACAATGATAGCTGCCGTTTCTTGAATGCTTGCTATGTGCCAAGACCTTTCTAAGTATACTGAGTTTACAAACTAGAAGGTAACACAAACAGAATAGAGTTGCTTTAATAGTGGCATTACTGGAATTCTCCTTCATTTCTTTATCATTTGTGAAAACAGCAATACAAATTCATTTATTCTCATAATACAGTGGACAGCTGGCTCTCAGATCTGAATTAACACAATAGAAGAAAAAAGTGGTCCAGTTTCAGGACCTCCAGAGGCTTTTTCCCCCAGTGAGGCCACTCTTCCAGCCATAGAGTTTTCTCATGCCATGTAGAGGTGTAGTGGATGTTACCTCCAACTGCTATCCTAACTTGTGTTTCATAGTAACACTGAAAAGTAAGTGTTAGGATACCATGACACAACTGTAGATCGAATAAACTGAATATGCTGCCTAGAGGCAACAGGGCTAGAGTGCCTCCTCCCCTTTCCTTAACTAGATTTGGTATCAGAATGTTCAGGCTACTCATTCTTTGCATGATTTCAACACACCAGTAATATATCTCTCCCTCTCCTTTTTTCTCCCCCCAACCCCCCTCTTCCTCCTTCACACCCTCCCTCAATATTTGCATTCACTTAAACTCATTTTTCTTTGTTATAAAACTAATTCAAACTCACTAAAAACAATTTGAAAAGTTCAAAAAGGTATGGATAAAAGAACATTTATTCACAGTCCCATTACAAAAAGACAATCATAACCAACATATATTCTCTTCCCTGTCTTTTTAAACCAGGCAAAAGGATCCTTTTGAATAAACCTCATTTGAAGTAGAAGACATATTCAAAGACAACGCACAGCTCACTGGTAGAGTGCTTGCCTAGTGTGTTTAAAGCCCCGAGTTCAATCCCCAGAACTCCCTCCCCATGGAAAAAAAAAAGTATGCACATACAAGCTTATAGTATGATCAATTTTAACATGTTCATGTAATGAGCCCTCAGGCCAAGAAACACAATACCATCAGAATCCAAGGAGCTTCTCTTACGCTCACTCCCAGACATACCACTTTGAGAAAAAACACTGTCCAGATTGACAGCAGCATAAATATGTTTTCCCTGTATTCATTCATATAAAAAATGTAGAATCATATACTCTTCTGTTTTCTTTCACTTTTATGTACATAGTTAAGTGTTCAGCCCATTGCTACATCACATTACCCGGTGTGAATATACCAAAATTTATGTATCTTTTCTTCTATCAATAGGCATTTGGGTACTTAACTTGAAGCTAATACCAATAATGTTTCTCTGAACATGCTGGTAATTACCTTTTGGTGAACGTACTATGCATTTCTGGGTAAACAGTAGTGGAATTGCCAATACACACAGTATGCATATGTCCAGATCTAAAAAGTAGATCCAAACATTTTCTTCACACTCTGACCAGCAACTCAGAGTTCTGATGGCTCCACATCCACGCCAACATCAGTTCTGATAATGTTTTTTTTGTGTGTGATTTTAATCTCTGATGAGTAATTTCTATTGTTAAGTATTTGCTCTGATCTCTATTGGTTTTCCATCTTTCTTATTCACTTATCAGTGTTTTGTGTGTTCTAGATACAGATTTCTTATTAATTGTATGTACTGTGAATATTTTCTATTACTCTGGGCATTACCTTTTCATTGTATTAATGGTGTCTTGTGATTAACCAAAGTTTTTAATTCTAAATGTAATTCATCATTTTTAACTTTAAGATTATTTTTTAACCTTGTTTAAAAAATGTTCACCTACTTCAAGGTCACAGAGATGTTCTTCCAAGTTTTTCCTAGCATGTGATATTTTTGCTCTATGTTAAACCTTTTTAAAACAATGTAGTACCCTTCTATCCATTCATAACATTAAATGCACATTTTAAATGTATTTTCACAATATATTAATTTTTCCTTTCTGACTAGACAGTGAGCCAATCAGGAGTAGGGCCACTATTTATTCATCATCACATCTGTAGAATGTGAGAATCTCTGTAATTTGGAGCTAGAGGTAGATCTAAGAAGTCTGGTTTTATTGAGCTGTTTAAGTGTTTAAAGATACATTTCCAAAAGCATTATATGTTGTACCTAGAGTCGATAAATTTTATTCAAATAGGATTTCATGTCACATTTTCCATTCCTGTTCATCTGCAGAATCTTCTTAATTGAGAGGGCGTAGTGAATGATTTAAATGTCATCAACTAATCCAAATATAGAATTAAAAATATAAACATGGTAAGAAATATGGCACTTAAGCAGAATATGACTTACTTCAGAGGAAAATCAAATAAATTCAAAGGTATAAAAAATGACTTTTATGAAAGTCATGAAACCATTACTCTATCTGGGCATGGTGGTGCACCTATAATCCCAGTGGCTTGGGAAACAGACAGGAGGATCATGGGTTCAAAGCCAGCCTCAGCAACTCAGGGAGACCCTAAGCAACTCAGCAAGACCATGTCTCTAAAATATAAAAAAAACACTGGAGATGTGGCTCAGTTTAAGTGCCTCTGGGTTCAATCCCTAGTACAAAAAATTAAACACAAAATTATTCTATTTCATAAAAGAAACTTAAAATTTACGTCTTTCC